GACCTGTAAGTAAAAATAATAACGTATTTCAATGACAGAATACCCGCAAGTAAAATTAAAAGAACTTTATATTTTTATTCATACTCTACTTGAGTGGTTTATTTGACAACGAAATTAGGCCGTCTATTTGAAGCCAACGCAGTATTTGCAAATCATTAATCTATCTATCTATCTAATACATATNATATTAAAAATGAAACCCGTTTCGCGTTGTCACGGCATCACGTGTGAACGGCTGAACCGATTTCGATAATTCTTTTTTTTAAATGTTTGTGGAAGTCCAAGGATGGTTCTTACGGAAAAAAATATTAAGAAAATCTCTACGCTAAGGCGGTACGAAGTTCGCCGGGTCAGCTAGTCATAAATAAAATTGGTCCACGATCGACAATAATAAATGTATGTAGGTACTTTCATACGGAACAGATCTACACAAAGAATATACTTAAAACCTCCCCTTTCTTTGAAGTCGGTAAAAGTCGTGTTGAAATGTTTTAAGATACTTAAATAAGTACGTAAAACTTACTTGTTACAATTCGCTTCTCATTCTTGAAATTCAGTATAATTTAATTGTAGAAACACTTCCATAATACATTCGTTTCTAATTTATGAAATTCAGTAAGATTCAATATCTTACTTTGTCACGATACTTAATTTTTTTTTGCCAAGGCAGGTATTTGTAGAGTAGAGAGCTAAGTGAGATGCAGTCTAGGATGGTAGGTACAGTCGCGGAATGAGAAGGTTCGTCACCTTAGTGTCGGTTTTCGCTTGCACTAGGTACTGTAAGAGTCAAACCTGCCAACATAACAGTGCAAGAAACAGTGCTGCTAACATTTAAATAAATATGACGTTTGCTAACGAATAAGGTTTTGCTTGTTTATTTTTCTATCCCATCAGTGCAATGCAATGATGACATTGACCAATTGACAATAGTTTTTTTTTATTTAATAGGAATAATAATGGCAGGTTGAACCAACAAGAAGGTTTTAGTTTATCAATCATAATAATCTTCTTGACAAGATAAATCGTCAAACAACTTTGATCTAAATAATTTTGAACTTTACTGACGAACAGTTAAAGATTATTTTCTTTAACTCGAGATTATTCTGTAACATAGTTTCAAAAGGTAATATGTGCTCGCGATTCGTTGAAGGAATCAATTTGAAAACTGACGAAACTTTTCACTCCGTGACTGTACATATCTGCCCTGTGCCTATTCACTCTCACCTTGAAAAAGCCCGTATTATAGTGTTCGGGAAAGACAGCAGCTGGCAGCGAATTCTAGTTCCTTTGAATTATGACCTATCACAAAATAACCACCTTAATAATAACAAGTTAGGAGTGACACTTAAAGCTAAATTTTTCACCGCATGTGTAATTTTATTCATAAGTAAAAATTATTTTGAAACAAAATCCGTGCCGGTTGTACGCAAACCAAAAATGAAAGTAAAATGTGATAAATCGGTGTAAACTTGGCATTGGTTTCAAAGTCCGATAACACCGACCCACCGCTGGCATTAGGTCAACCTCAGCCTGGGACCCTATTTGAAAACCGCTAGAAAACTTTCGCATACTTTCACGGACAATGTATAAAAATACACGGTGGTTTGTTGCTGTATTTTTATGCTTTACAGTTTATAATCCTAAATAAATATAAATATTATAAGTAAATGAAATTATTTTCTATAAACTGTGACTTATTTACAGTCAGTAGCTAAGTATGAGGAAGTAATAAACAAGTCATATTTATTATCATAAAAATATTGTTCTTACAAACGACATGACACTTATTCTATAAATAAGATTATCTGTATGCGTACGACTACTGTCTGTGTAAGTAAGTAACGCGTTTTCTAAATGTGTGTATTTATGAAATATGCGTACTAAGTTTATCTGCTAAAGTAACCGATCAGAGCTTTAAGTTTGAGCTTTTAAACTTTTAAATACCTACCTACAATTAACCTGTCTCGTAAGCACCTGATTTTCATGTTTCTTTCTATTTTTTTTGCAGTAACTTTATAACTTTAAAAAATACGAACACTCGAAAATGCCTTCTAAACTAATGAGATTAAAATATCTACGAGTTCTAGAATAGAGTCTCAAAATGGCTTACGCAGCGTGCGTAGACGGTGCCGTTGCGGAGAAAGTTCCACGCAATCTTACGCTCGCTCAGAGTCGAGGTCAGCGTGGAACAGGTTTCGTTCCCATATTTACTTTTCATCGAAAGGAAGTAAAAGTAACGTGTGACTCAATCCTAGCATTTCGAGTCGGCGACGACTTGTCTCTATTAAAAGGTCTGGAGAATCCTTCATTCATTTGTTTTGTATTCATAAAATAAAAAGTAAGTTTGACATTTGAAGGCGTTCTTTTTTCAAAATTAACAAAAATGATTTTACAATCGAAATAAAGTGATAGGTTTCAAAAGACATAGCGTAGTCATAAAAAAGTGATAGGCACTGGCTGAAAATAACTCATAACGAGTTTTTCCAAACAAGGATGCATCACTAAGGCCCAGTTTTTTGATTCATAGTTAAAATAACTAATTGTTAAATTTTGCTACTAATGGTTAAATATTAACAAAATGTTAACGAATAGTTAAAAAATGTACTAAAAGTCAAGCTAACCATTGTTCGAAAAACATTTTTTTCTGATATTTAACCACTTGTCATTTGACACCTGTCAAACCTTTTATTTTAACTATGAATCAAAATACTGGGCCTAAGGCCCGGTTTTTTAAAATATCAGAAAAAAATGTTTTTCATACAATGGTTAGCTTGACTTTTAGTACATTTTTTAACTATTAGATAACATTTTGTTAATATTTAACCATTAGTAGCAAAATTTAACAATTTGTTATTTTAACTATGAATCAAAAAACTGGGCCTAAATATGGTCCGAATTTCACTCAACTACTTACGATGGCGAGTAATTGCTTTACCCACTGTAAATTGTGATCACCACTGTACCATACTATAAACGAGTACATTTATTTCATTTAACAGTGATTATTACTGTTGTGATAATTAATTAATTATATTTGTTTTGCTTACAAAATGTCTTCCTTTTTGTTGGTGAAACAGTCACCGAATAATTGACGAATAATGTATAATTGAAATCTTCTGGATACAATAGGTACGACAAAATAAACATACCTGCCAAATTCTATTTTTGAAATTCTCATCCTCAATCATACAGAGGACCTCTTTTTCCACGAATGCGTCGAAGTTTATGTTTAATAATAATATTCCTTTGAACAATCAGCATGAACTTATTTAGAAATCTCACGACAAGTCATACTAATTTCGACGTAATTTCGTCTTCCGCATTTTGAACAATGTGGATATGATTTTTGTCTCCAATTCATGTATGCGTTATGAATTTGTTTCTTCTGAAAGGTCAATAGCTTATAGAAATTAACATAAGTAAAGCATCATAATAAAAACATAAAATATAATATTATTGAATGAGATCTTTTCAATCTTACAATAACAATAATGCGAAGTCATATTTTACTTTCTTGAATGTTCTAAGTAGCTCGAATGCATTTGCGCGTCACTCATTTTCACTGCCTTAGCATATGCCTATCGGTCTGAACTTTTCATCTTAATTGCTTACTTTCCAATAGGCAAGCCTCTAATGTCACATGTTTAAAAGCCTTCCACCGAGCCTAGAAATGACATGTGAAAGTGCCAACGCAGCTAACGCCTTTTCTTAATGAAACTTTCGTAGAAATCTATGTTCGCGCCGTTTTAGCGGAGATAAATGTCCACCTGTCACACATTAGGCGCGATGTTGTGTTGACGAGGAAAAACTAATGAAACGCGGCGCCATAGCAGAAAAGGTCAATATCAGAGTTACACAATTTTATTATTTTACAAAATGTCGTTGACGACTAGGGGACAAGTATGCGAACAAGGATCTCTCTAAACCATCTAAAAATAATTCTAAAGCTCGATGATGAATACCAATCAAAGCTAACGAATGAGTTCAATAAACGATAATTTATTTCATACTTCCAAGGTAAATTTTACTTTCCATATAAAATTATATTTTTTCGGCTATTGACCCCTAGGGTGACATTTAGCGCCCCTGTCACTTTTTATACTGTCTTATGCCACCCTATTGTTGTATTTTGCCACTCTACAATACCTTTTCTGTATTTTTCTTTCAAGTTAAATAATATCAATGTTTGAGTCTATATTATTATTTACTTTTGAGAATATTCTATCTACTTATGTCTCTCGAGAATATAAAAACGAAAATACACTCGGCATCAAATAAATCGCACCTCCCGCGACAAGCACTTATCAAACGTATATGCATCCGCACTTCCCACCAACATTGGTACCATTTGAAAGCCTAGTTCTAAACTTCATTTCATTAAAGGAAAGGGTTTTACGTCAAAAATGTGTCATTACAAGGATCCAGAGTCACTTCTTCAAAAAATAGGTAGTTACGCTATAGCCATTTTTTATGACCATAAAACTGTTAAGTTGGGATTAATCGCTATCCATCTGTTAAAGCGGACACGTGAGATCTTTATTTGGTTTTATAACCATAAAAATTGGTCTAATTGATCCCAGAGGTGTGCCCAAAGTCTATTTTCAAGTCACATTTATGGTAAATAATAGCAGATAATTTATGTTTTGAGACACAATACCTGTTCTCTATAGGTAGGTAAATAATAAAGATTAATGTCGTCATCATTATTTAATAGATTGACATCATAATCGTATTCACTGTCTTATAACTGAATAAACCGAATTTCATCGAATTTTTAGTAGTCTACTTAATGTAGGAAATAAAGTTCTTACAACTCACGAAGGCAAGTAAGCTTTAATTGTGTGTGTACGTGTATATGTACATAACTATAGTGTAATGTCTATAAAAACTTTTGAAAAACTCACAGTAGCAAGCTACTGGCCTGGCCTTCGTGAATTGCAACAATTATATTCGTTTTTATCTGTTGTCTCGTTCTAAATGTCAGTTTTGAATTGTTCCAGGTGTGGTCCACAATGAGCTCGTCGCTTCTCCTGGCGAGCACACTCCTCACGAAGCAGTCGGGTCTGGATGACGTCTCCAAGGTCACAGCGCACATTCCTCAGGGAAAGAACAGAAGCCACGAGTAAGAAGGAGAAAAAATGTTAATAGAGAGAAGATAAAAAAAAACTATATTGGTCGTTATTATAAATTGTTTAGAAAAACTGTTTCTCTGGCGAACGTGTGGTGTGTACAATCGAGTTCATAAATATATTGGCAATGCCAATGTTTAAAAATATTGCTAGCGTTGGTCCTATGTCCCCTAGATGGTGCAGAGGGCATCCACAACAGTCCTCCATCGCGTTCGATCTTGAGCTTCGCGTTTGATCTCGCTCCAAGTCTTGCCGCGCGTTTTAATAATCATATATTTGAATGCAAACTCAAACATAAATAAAATGTAATCAAATAATCTGTTAATTATCATGTTGTGGTAGCGCATTATAGACTGCGCTACAATATTTTGAAATATTGGACACTGCCAATTATTTATGAACTCGACTGGTACCTGGACCTACATGGTAGGCCGGCCAGAAAGACTTATGTATGATTTTGCTATGCGTAATATTTTAGGTATAATTAATGACAAATAATAACTACAGAAACATATACCTACAATAACGTTTGAGATTAGGTAGTTGCGACTCCTAAACGCATATGAAACAGGTTTTGTGAAAGTAAAGTCCGTCATTGTTTTATTCCAAATGCCAATCAATGTGACGTCGTTTCTCTCACTTTGACATTTACCTAAGTAGGTACTTACTTTGAAAATCCGAAAAAAAAATTCTTTATTCAGTAAACTTAAATGTAGGTCAGAATAGGTAATGACGACAATTTCAAATAAATTATTTACGATGACAACTTATCGACGATGGCGATTGTTCCTATTTATTTGACAACAAATAAACATCCACAAAGAATTTGAAATAGTTTACATAATTTGAGTTGGAAAAAAAGTATTAGAAGAACTGGCTGATAGTGGCATGTGAGTTATAAAAAGTTTTTTGATGTTTTGGTGTTATTTGCAAATAAGGATTTTAGCCACATAAAAATCTTATCACGTAAAAATGCTTACGTAACAAATTAAAACTTAACTCTATCTTTTTAAAAATACTTACTAAAGATACCCATACCCATTTATTTATTTATTTATTTAGGAAAACCAGGGTCTTACAGTGTGTAATAATGACATAAGATAGGCAACGAGTAAGCCATACCATCTGGCCTGGTAGTTTTGGATTATGCTTCTGTGGTGCTACTTAAGTTAATGTTGCTTTTAAAAATTTTAATGCAACGAGCACAATGAATTCAAAGCAGAACCGTGGGTGGCTTATGTTACGAGTAGCTTTATCCATAGAAATCTATGTAGTAGCACTCGAACTCTAAGACCCCATTTCACCAACAAACGAGTTTGACAAACAATGGTTTAGAACTGTAATTGACATGGAAACGGACTGCCATGACAATAAAGCTCAATTCATTTAGCAATACATTAAATAATTAATTGGTGAAATTGATTCAAAGAGCCAGTTTTTTATCCGTTATTAATTTAACCATCAACATGTTTTCTTCATCAAAATTCGTTTTTCGCACGATGGTTATGTTGACTTTTCAGTACAATTTATTAACTGTTAGTTTATTGTTTGTTAATATTTTACCATCAGGAACTAACAATATTTAANCTCCTAAATGCATATGAAACAGGTTTTGTGAAAGTAAAGTCCGTCATTGTTTTATTCCAAATGTCAATCAATGTGACGTCGTTTCTCTCACTTTGACATTTACCTAAGTAGGTACTTACTTTGAAAATCCGAAAAAAATATTCTTTATTCAGTAAACTTAAATGTAGGTCAGAATAATGACGACAATTTCAAATAAATTATTTACAATGACAACTTATCGACGATGGTAATTGTTTCTATTTATTTCACAACAACTATACATCCACATAGGATTTGAAATAGTTTACATAATTTGAGTTGGAAAAAAAATATTACAAGAACTGATTGATAGTGCCATGTGAGTTTAAAAAAATTTTTTTGATGTTTTGGTGTTATTTGCAAAAATAATAAGGTTTTAGCAACAAGTCTTATTCATTACGAGTATTATAAATTGAACTGAACTCTAACTTTTTGAAAATACTTACTCAAGATAATAATGATCCGACTGGCCTGGTGGTTTCAAATTATGCTTCTGTGGTGCTACTTAAGTTAATGTTGCTTCTAAAAATATTAATGTAATGAGCACAGTGCATTCAAAGCGGAACCGTGGGTAGCTTATGTTACGAGTAGCTTTATCCATAGAAATCTATGTAGTAGCACTCTAAGACCCCATTTCACTAACAAACGAGTTTGACAAACAATGATTTAGAACTGTAATTGACATGGAAACGGACTGTCATGACAATAAAGCTCAATTCATTTAGCTAAACATTAAATAGTTGGTGAAATTGATTCAAAGAGCCAGTTTTTTGATCCGTAATTAATTTAACCATCAAAATCTTTTGTTGATCTGTATTGTAATATCTTTGATACCAAATAAATATTTTTTCTTTCTTTCTTTCAAAATTCTTTCTTCATCAAAATTCGTTTTCCGCACGATGGTTATGTTGACTTTTCAGTACAATTTATTAACTGTTAGTTTATTGTTTATTAATATTTTACCATCAGGAACTAACAATATTTAAGACTATAGGTTATTTTAACTACGGATAAAAAAAACAGGCCCTTAACTGATTTCGGTGATCATTCATTATGCATCAAACTTTTTAGTACATAATGTAACTGAAACTGTTAGTCGATATACAGCTCATAAACTGGCAATGGGCAACGTAGCGCGAAGATCCGGCGGCCGATGGGGATGGAAGGTTCTCGACTCTCCCCAGTGGAAAGTAACGTGTCATCCACCGGCACAGCGAATGTTCTGAATGGAAATCACTGGGAGAGACTTACATTAACCAGTGAACCATATACTGAAATGATGATAGCTTTTGAGGCAAAATCACGTGCTTTAGCTAATGTTGTGATTCATGATGCGCTTTTGTGATGCATTTGTAGTGTTCGGTTATAAATTTTGAAATGTTTACTTATACGAACAAAATATAGTAAACGAATTGAAGACTAGATGTATCTGTCACCAAAATGCGTGCTCTACTTTTTATTAACCAAGACTTTTACTTAAAGGATTGGGAATAAGGATAATTAACATACAAAATCGATTAAGGTTTATTTGTATGCTAAGATACGTTAAAATTGATACATCGGCTTGCGTAGAATCGTAACAACACACACAGTTGCTTTTGCATTTGTGTGTAAAATATTGGTATAGATTCTAGATTTCTCCTTCAATGTTTCTGTTGGTAAATGAGATGAATTCAGCCGCAACCATAAAAAATCTGCTTCATTCGCTTTCCAGATGGCAGATCGTTTGGAGAAATGTCCTCGGGTTCGTCTACCTTCACACCGCCGCCATATACGGGCTCTACCTTATATTCACGGGCCGGGCGAAGATGTATACGTGGTTGTTCGGTAAGTTTAACAAATAAATAAATAAATATCCTTGGACATTTTACACTGCACTGCTAGGTAACGAATATAAACATACTTGAATACTTTTTTTGTAAATACATACATTATTATACAAAGAAAACATCCAAACCCGTCACAGAAATTTAAATTCATCATTTCAATTTCTGCCCGGCCTGGAATCGAACCTGAAACCTCTCGGCATAGTAGTCCGTTCTGAAACACTATGGCCGACAATTGGACAAGTTGGAAATGTTTTATAAGATTTCTTTCAAAATTATAACAAGTTGCTTGCATTGACCCTGTCAGTAACAATGTTGGGCAGTATCTTAGTAGTAGTTGTAGTAGTTTATTTAGGCATATTTACTTTAACCGTCTGGAGGCACACGTCAATGTGTAAATTCTTGGGGAGACCTGTCTAACAGCGGACATTCTTTTTTTTATCCACAACGGGGAAGCTCTTGGCCTGTATCTCACCTGATGGTAAGTGATGATCAGGCCGAAGTTGGAAGGTCTTCTTTGGCTGAAACAAACATAATACTTATTGAAAACTATTTGTATCAATCGCCGCCTTCTCCTTTATTTCAAACAGATATCTTTGAAGAGTAAAGGAAGAAACTAATTAATACATATTATTCAAATTTGTACCTACATCGCAACACCACTTTCTCCTGGCCCTCGCTGTTTCTCAGCTTCACCAAACAGGTTATTAAAATTACCTCTCAAGGTTGCATTTCGGAGTATTAATTTGCTCGTAAAATCTAGTAATTTCTTATCTATGATAAATAAATAGAACCTTAAATTAATAGAGCTACTTTAGTATAAGATTATTCTTATTTGTCAGTAGTTTATTAAAATCAACATTGCTAGCTATATTCCGCGTTTTGGATCTCATTACTCTAATATTAATATTAAACCGTTAAATTACAGTAATGTTTGATCAGGGCAAATTAAAATTAAACTCCCCTTCTACCAAGAAAACCAAGTTTCATTTCCGCCTCTCAACCTTAGTTATTTATAGAAAAATATCTTTACCAACACTTCTGAAAGAGTTTCTAGTCACAAAAGTAACATAGATTTCTCATTTTACATTATGGATTTCTGCCTTTGTTACATAAAAAATGGACAAAATTTGAATCCTTTCGCTTATACCATTCAAGTATCTCTATTAACGCATTTAAGCCAGCGTCGTTTCATCAATTTATACAAGAGTAACACATAACTTTTCCATTATTTTTATTCCCCTTTTCCGCCAAATGCACGATATTTTATGAGGTTTCAATTCGAATAAGGTTTTTTGTTTCTTTTTATGAACATAGTACTTTTATTTTTTTCAGGGGTGCTATTTGCCGTAGTATCGGCCATGGGGGTGACGGCGGGCGCGCATCGGCTGTGGGCACACCAGGCGTATAAGGCCCGGTGGCCACTACGCGTCATTCTGACCGTACTCCAGACAATGGCCTTCCAGAACCACATCTACGAGTGGGTCAGAGATCACAGGTAATTGACATGATGTTTAATTTAGTAGATAGGTTAATATATTTCTAAAATTCAGCCTTAAGCATTGTGAAAGACAGATTGGGAAAATCTTGAAGGGTGAACTTAAAATTAATACCTACTTACATCGTTTACTTTAGTTTTTCGCGGAAAATAGGGCCCAAAGTTTTATTAACTTTCTTTTTATCACACGTGTAACAGACTACCTATTATGTTTCGGCTGAAAAACTCTTTAATACATTAGTAGCATGAATTTCCATGAATTTTAACTTTTTCACGGTTAACATTTTTGTCTAGTTTCATAACCTTTATTAGTTTCTTTTCGTGTAACTGTTGTAAAAAATGTTTCTCAAGTCCCATAGAAGAAATATTTATATGAGTGCGTTTTAAAATAGTTTTTATTTACTTTTTCAGAGTTCACCATAAATTCACGGAAACAGATGCGGATCCTCACAACGCTAAACGCGGCTTCTTCTTCTCCCACATCGGCTGGCTGATGGTACGGAAGCACAAGCAGGTCTTCGAGAAGGGAGCCACCATCGACATGTCTGACCTCGAGCAGGACCCGATCGTCATGTTCCAGAAGAAGTAAGCATTACTTATTTGGTTTACCAGCTGTTGTTATAATAAACACGATTCAAGAATAGTGCTTACTTATAGGCACATCCCCATTATTAACAAAAGTTACACCCTAGTTAAACTCTGGCTTAAATTGTCATTTAGTATGGAAATGTCATTTTAATCCAGTGTTCATCCTAGGTGTAACTTTTTATTTAAGGGGAAATAGGTTTATAGAGTACAATAATTATTTAAGGTAGGTAAACATATTACAATGTTCGTATTACCACAGATAACATAGTAAAAAAACACGAACGCATAAAAACTCAAACAAGACACAATTTTCATGAAGATTCGATTCATGTTTCTTCCCTCCGGTATAATTCGTGTGATTCGGGACGAGGTGCAAAACTGAACTTGTCAGATTACTTGTGTGTAAGATGTTTCTTTTTCGTAGCTTAACAGCTTCTCAGTGAGGCACAATTGCTACTTAAATCTTAACAGGAGATACTGCGCTTCGACTTTGCTCCATTAGCTCTACTATCAAAATTACCTAACAAACAGACATTTATGAAGACCTCCTGAAATAAAGATTTATTATATTTAGTAGGTACTTCTACTTCGTGATAACATAAAACGTACACCAGGAAGTCAAAGCGAGCGTCTCTAATTAATTTAACAAAAATTTAGATTTAACTTTGTTCATTAATTTCAAGATCAACAAGTAAACGCACAAATAAAATGGCTCCTACGTATAAGGGCGAAACTGCCGCTTACGCCTTTTTCCAATTATTTAAGCAATGATTTCACTTTGCTCTAATCTATAACATCAGTAAGAAAAAAAAATTTTTTTTTCCATTAGATACAAAATAAAATTTTAGGCAAATATAGTCCAGTCAATAAATGCCTTAACGACGGTGTAGAGAGAAATCCGTGGAACACAATTTCTGACCTCGGGACTTTATTTAGCCTAGTTAGGTGGTGAACATAGCAAAAGTCCCCGCCCTTAGCCCTTGAGCCGGCGGGGAGAGGGGGGTTTAAAGGTACCACTTTTCGGTTTTTCGCTTAATCCTCGGAAACTATGCGTCCTAGTGACATGACTACTATGAACCAAAAAAAGCTTACTCAATTTGCTACAGGTGAGACAGTCAAGTTTTTCTATATCTTGTATAGTTTTTGCGGCATCTGCTCTAGAAGGTCTGTAAAATTGGAAATTTTATTGTTGTCTTACATGTTCCTTTCAGGAGAAAATCGACTAAATCAACATTGAGCAAACACTATAGACATGCGGGAGCATGTTAAGCCTAGTTCCATGGAGGGGACTGCACCGTGCGTATATTTAGACGAACCAATTAGAGCCACTTTTGACTCCTCATCATTCAAAAACTACTGTGCATTAACACGTTCAAAAATCGACATTTAGAGCACTACTATCTATCTATCACATGTGAAATGTTAAAATTTACTGGTTTTTTATTTGTTCCTTTGTATTTACATAACTACCTTTCTGGATGCCAAATTTGAACCTTCAAGGTCATCTGGAAGTGGTTAGAATTTGGTCTATAGGTCAGACATGTAAATTTTTGGACGTCAATATCTAAAGAACCGTTTGAGGCATATTTATGAAATTTGAAACTGATGTATATCTTGTAAGTCTCAACACATGAGCCAAATTTGAAGTGTTAATGCACAGTAGCTTTTGAGTGATGAGGACTCAAAAGTGGCTCAAAGTGATTCGTCTAAATATACGCACGGTGTAGTCCCCTCGCTGAAACTAGGCTTAACATGCTCCCGCATGACTAGAATGATTGCTCAATGTTGATTTAGTCGATTTTCTCCTGATGGGAACATGTAAGACAAAAATAAAATTTCCAATATTACAGACCTTCTAGAGCAGATGCCGCGAAAACTATACAATTTATAGAAAAACTTGTCTATCTCATCTGTAGCAAATTGAATATGCTTTTTTTGGTTCAAAGTAGTCATGTCACTAGGACGCATAGTTTCCGAGGATTAAGCGAAATACCGAAAAGTGGCACCTTTAAACCCCCCTCTCCCCGCCGGCTCAAGGGCTAAGGGCGGGGACTTTTGCTATGTTCACCTCCTAACTAGTCTAAATAAATTCCTGAAGTCAGAAATTGTGTTCTACAGTTTTCCATCTATAATGCTTTATTGACTGGACTAATAGGCGTACGTACAAAACTACGCCACGTATAAAGCCCTATCATACGATTCGTCAATCTATACGAGTAGTTGCTTACATAAACATATATTTTTTATAATCCAAATCTTAAATAAAGCCATGAAAATATTTAGAAAATTGTTTTATTTATAAATTATGACACATTATATAGTTATTTAATTTTTAGCGTTAAGAGTCTCATCTCAAACTAATTTGAGAATTATAAATAACTTGAAAAAATCGAACTGCCTAAGGCATCGTGGGTTCAATTCCCGCCTTAGGCAATTCGATTTTTTCAAGTTATTTATATTTTTTAAAAATATGACACATTATGTTAAAAGACCTAACTAAATCTCGAGCACAGTATATGGGCGTATTTGCGTTAAAAACGACTTTTTCTAACTGATTTATTATTGATATAGCACATGAAAACAATTAAAATAATTACTTGCATAAATAAAGAGAGTAATCGCTTAAAATATTATATTAACGTTGTCATTTATGTCTTTTTACGTTGAACAATATACATGAAATTATAGAAATATGCCGACGTAAAAGGGCAATGCGTAAAATCTCAAAATATATAAGAAAAATATAAAAATTGATAACAGCAGTAGCAAAAGCATTACATGTTAAGGCTAAATGTGAAATTTCATTAAATTCGTTTTAGTAGGTCAGAAGATATGACCCAAAAATATGGTTCTGGCCACTAAAATGGCTCTCCTGTAAAATTTACTTTTTTCACTTACGCCAGTATACGTAGGAGCCATCGTAAATGTAAGGTATCTTAAATTTTAAATTGATGATTAGGCTTTCTGTTCTCAAACTTCCTTGATTATCTGTCAAAGGCAATCAGGAAAATGGCAAAAGGTAGGTAATCAAGCTTGTGTGCCTAATTTACAAAATTGGGCAAAAGTCGTCATCCGAAATAACCTTGCTTTTGTGTTTCTTGATTGGTCTTAAAAGTCTAATGTTTATTAAATTTTAATGTCATTTCAATCCGTTATAGACACAATAAGAAACTTTATTCGCTAAATATCTAAAAGTACACAATAGTAGCCCGTCAGTTTAAGAAGGCAAATTTACTCGTCGTTAAGTATTAAGCGAAGTTTACTCAGGCGTCAACAGCAACAGATTATTTTTAGACTCGTATTTTTACCTATTCCAGGACTTACTTGGTTCTGATGCCAGTGCTCTGCTTCTTGATCCCTGCTTGGATCCCCATCCACTTCTGGGGTGAGACTCCGTGGAGCTCGTGGTACGTGGCAGCTATCTTGAGATACACCATCTCTCTCCACTTCACCTGGCTGGTCAACTCCGCTGCACACATTTGGGGAAACAGACCTTATGACAAGTGAGTATATCTTGAATTAATTACTTCTTTTTCAATGCACTATCTCATTTCAAATTACCTCTCTAAGTAACAGCTATGAAGTTGGATCGAATAAACTAAGCACACATAAAAATGTGTTCAAGAGAGTCCTTTTAGTGGACATTTGACAAGGGTAAATACCAACTGAAATCGAAAAGATCGCTTCCAAAATTACCCGACCAAAAAAACGATACGTAAAACAACCAAGTAGGACTAATAATGAGAATAGTACATCTTCCACTATGTAGAAGTACTACTTAACCGACATCTTTAGGAAAATATTCGATATTAGGCACCTTTTGAAACAAAAGGTAAACAATTTCTGTTCCACATGCCGTTTATAAAAACATCTAACAGAATCATTTTTCCACGAATACTTATTTTTCCAAGTATTCGACTAAACCGACTACGCCTCTCCATAACTTCACTTTTCCTCAACATGTGTATTGCTATTCCAGGAACATTGGCGCCACCGACAACGTGACGGTGGCCATCTGCGCGTTCGGCGAGGGCTGGCACAACTACCACCACGTGTTCCCGTGGGACTACAAAGCGGCTGAGCTGGGAAACTATAGCACCAACATGTCGACATCCTTGATTGATCTTGCAGCGAAGTTTGGTACGCTTCATTATTGGTTTACTTTGAATAAAATCAAAGTTACAGCTGCCAACGTAACCGTTGCCATTAAAGCTGCACAAAACTATTTCAGTCACCCCAAGATACTAGGGTTCGTTCATTTCAGTCATAAGAAGCCCACTGCTGGATCAAGGTCTCCCTAGACTAAAGTACTAAAGAGAAGCTATCGAATCGAAATCATTTTGAATTGTTGGACAACGCTGAATATCTTTCTGTAAAACATTGAATTTATCCTACCTACCTGTTTTGGATTTTCATAGACAAAGTATCTAGACTAAACTACTGTCTCCGTATTTACGGTTTTCACAATTTTCATTCTCAAAAGGTTTTTCTATTTAGATTCACTTAGTTACGCATTTTTTTTCAGGCTGGGCTTACGACCTCAAAACAGTCTCAGTGGATATGATCAAGAAACGTGCTGCAAGGACCGGAGACGGCTCCCACCCGTCCTGTCAAGAAGCTCCAAAGGTCATAGATGATGATGACCATGACCATGACCATGACCACTCTCATGACAACGCAGTCTGGGGCTGGGAAGACAAGGATATGCCAGAAGAAGATAAACAGCTAGCAGAAATCAGTCATAGAAAGATAGAATAGTATAGCTTTAGGTTAATAATTTGTACAAATGTGTGTGGAGTCATTTGCATTTAAAAGTTTCCTGTTGTAATTTGAATGTGGATCAAAATTTAAGATTTTGCAAGACAAAAGAACTACTAAAATTATTTAATTCACATTATCCTGATATTGGATATAGAGAAACTAAAGGCACAAGACTTAAAAAGTATATTAAATGTGCCTTAATTTATATGCCAAAACTCATTAACCTAGTTAGAGACTACATAAAAGGCTAACTGACTTAAAACATTTTCCTCTTTTCTGCAGTCGGAAAATAATCGATATTTTGACAGCGGAGTAGAAAGTGATTTTAATCAATAACATTTGATTGCATACATAGTTACTACGTCATTGTACCTAATTTGGAATGTAACAAACCAGCCACTAAAATGAAAGTCCTGTCCTGTTACAAACGGCAGGCACGTTATATAGGTACATAGGTACAGTGCCAAAAGCACTGAATTGTATACCAAACAAATTAAATTATAACTACAACAAATCTAATTAAATTATACAAATTAAAGGAAACATTTAAATCGCTGAATGTAAATAAATGTAATTATCCTTTTGATCTTTATTAATAATTTCAGAGAATTAGGATACATATTTATCATTCGGTAATAAAAGGACTGGATTCGGTGATAGTTTAGCATTATTATTTTATTTATTTTTATTTGTTTTATTAGGAGCCTATTTTTACTCTGATATAGGATGCTGCTATGATTACATGATACAAATTATTTTAAGACTCCATTATTTTTATTGTTTACCTTCATTATGTTAGTAAATGTATACGTTGATGGTGTAATAGGCTCTTAATGAACTTAAATTATATTTTTGAGACTTTTACCTATTTACTGTAAGCTTTTATCATATCGCTATAGCATTTAGCGTAAAATGATGGTTTATTATAGGATTAATGTAAAGAATAAGACAAATAAAACTTGTTTTAAAGCGTTTTAATAAAATAAAAAACAGCTCGAAAGCATTTCATTTGATCTAATTTAGTTGATCCTAATTTTATAATTAACACTAGAAAATCTACAAATATACGAACCTTTTCAAGTAGGTATCTAAACTCATTACTTAAAACAAAATAGATAAGCATTAAGATAGTAAGGTAAGGCTGTCATTTTAAGTAAGTAGTAGGTATTCCATCATAATTAGTGACCATTAAAAAATATTTCGATGAAGGCCGTCTGCAGGAAAGTAAGTACCTAGGTACGTGATATATTAGATGTCCATAAATAAAACAACACTTTCTTCTTTTATTAATAAGGCTTGTGAAATTTAATAGACAAAAAGATGGAATAAAATAAATATACATTGATTAATGAGTACTGATGAATTAATGGTTTCGCATCAGTAGGCATTATCTAATGAGATATTTTCTTACCTACTGACGTATTTTTAATACCTACGACTGAGTAAATTTAAAGATATTAAAATTGAAGCAGAAAACTTTATATGGAATTGATGGAAGAATCATTAGTTCGATACTAAGGCTGGGTTGCACCATCTTATATTAACTTTGACAAATGTCAAAAATCTGTCAAACTCCATACAAAAAGCGCCGGTGATCGATAAAGTTACCGTTAAAGTTAGGTGGTGCAACTCAGCCTAAGCATTAGATTTCACTGAATTGGAAATCTGTCATTAGTTAAATTCGTTTCGATTNTACGATTCATAAATAGGAGCAGTGAAAAAGCCGTGGACAAATGAAAAAGTTTTTGAGGTTATCAGGCATGTAAAAAACGCTAAGGTGACAATGGGATCTGGTGCTCGGAGGACTGCTGCGGAATATTATATGATATAAAAAATATGATGTATGAGTATTGGCGATGTATGAGTATTGGCGATGTGAAAAAAGACAGCCCTGAGAGCCCAACGGAAAACATACCTATGGAAGACTATTATGATATGTGAACGCTAAAGTGTAACCTTGTTGGTGACCAAATAAATAAATATTGTTAGATATTCATAGGGACAGTGGACATGGTAGTCGAGACAACATTCAGTACCAAATTAAAGATCGATATTGTCTATTTGAATAGAATTTGAATTACTGATATAAGGTCCGATTTATCCTACATGTGTTTTATGATGGTCACCCTATTGCAACAATCATAGTCGAAATTTTATCAATTGAACGAGTCGCCAATTTGCCTTCGGCATTTCACAGAACAGCGAGAGTTTGTAAACTGACGACGCCGTTTGTAAAATGCGGAATCATACAATTTGCCTGCGACAGATATACCACATAGTTTTAAAGTACAATAACGAGGGCATAAAAACTCAACCAAGACACTATTTTCATGAAGTTTCGCTTCATGTTTTTCCCCTCCCATAATTCGAGTGATTCGGGATCAGGTGCAAAACTGAACTTGTAAGGCTGAGTTACACCATCTTACTTTACCTTTAACAAACGTCAAAAATCTGTCAAACTCCATACAAAATACACCGGTTATTGCTATAGTTACGGTCAATGTAAGTTGGTGCAATTCACCTTAGATTATTTGTGTGTAAGATGTTTCTTTTTATATCTCGGGCAATTCTTTTTTGTATTGAACAACTTCTCAGTGAGGCACAATTGCTACTTAAATCTTAATAGGCGATTCTGCGCTTCGACATTGCTCCATTAGCTCTACTATCAAAATTACCTAACAAACAGACCTTCTGAAATAAAGATTTATTATTTAGTAGGTACTTATACTTCGTGATAACATAAAACGTACACCAGGAAGTCAAAGCGAGCGTCTCTAATTAATTTAACAAAAAATTAGATTTAACTTTGTTAATTAATTTCAAGATCAACAAGTAAACGCACAAAGGTAAGGTATCTTAGATTTTAAATTGATGATTAGGCTTTCTGTTCTCAAACTTCCTTGATTAACTGTCAAAGGCAATCAGGAAAATGGCAAATGGTAGGTAATCGAGCTTGTGTGCCTAATTTACAAAATTGGGCAAAAGTCGTCATTCGAAATAACCTTGCTTTTGTGTTTCTTGATTGTTCTTAAAAGTCTAATGCTTATTAAATTTCATTTCAATCCGTTATAGACACAATAAGAAACTTTCTTCGCTAAATATCTAAAAGTACACAATAGTGGCCCGTCAGTTTAAGAAGGCAAATTTACTCGTCGTTATTAAGCGAAGTTTATTCAGGCGTCAACAGAAAAAGATTATTTTTAGACTCGCATTTTTGGATTATTTATTTTATTTTATTTTGTTCGGAAAACATACAGTGAAACAATAACAGACTAATAACCATTAATAACAGATTAATAATTATTTTTGTCTATTCCAGGACTTACTTGGTTCTGATGCCAGTGCTCTGCTTCTTGATCCCTGCTTGGATCCCCATCCACTTCTGGGGTGAGACTCCGTGGAGCTCGTGGTACGTCGCAGCCATCTTGAGATACACCATCTCTCTCCACTTCACCTGGCTGGTCAACTCCGCTGCACACATTTGGGGAAACAGACCTTATGACAAGTGAGTATATCTTGAATTAATTACTTCTTTTTCTTTGCACTATCTCATTTCAGATTACCTACCTCCAACTCTAACTATAACAGCTATGAAGTTGGATTAAGTAAACTAAGCACACATAAAAATGTGTTCAAGAGAGACCTTTTTTAATGGATATTTGACAAGGGTAAATGCCAACTGAAATCGAAAAGATCGCTTCCAAAATTACCCGACCAAAAAAAAAACGATACGTTAAACAACCAAGTAGGACTAATAATGAGAATAGTACATCTTCCACTGTGTAGAAGTACTACCTATCCGACATCTTTAGGAAAATATTCGATAGTAGGCACCTTTTGAAACAAAAGGTGAACAATTTACGTTCCACATGCCATTTATAAAAACATTGAACAAAAACATTTTCCCACGAATACTTACTTTTCCCAGTATCCAACTGAACCGACGACGCCTCTCTCTAATTTCACTTTTCCTCAACATGTGTTTTGCTATTCCAGGAACATTGGCGCCACCGACAACGTGACGGTGGCCATCTGCGCGTTCGGCGAGGGCTGGCACAACTACCACCACGTGTTCCCGTGGGACTACAAGGCGGCTGAGCTGGGAAACTATAGCACCAACATGTCGACATCCTTGATTGATCTTGCAGCGAAGTTTGGTACGCTTCATTATTGGTTTACTTAGAATAAAAACAAAGTTGCCGTTAAACCTGCACAAAACTATTTCAGTCAGCCCAAAGATACTAGAGTTCGTTCAGCCATAAGAAGCCCACTGCTGGACAAAGGCCTCCCTAGACTAACGAACTACAGTGAAGCTATCGAAATCATTTTGAATTGTTGAACAACGCTGAATATTATTCTGTAAAACATTGAATCCTCCTCCTACCTACCTGTTTTGGACTTTCATAGACAAAGTATCTAGACTAAACTACTGTCTCCGTATGTACGGTTCTCACAATTTTCATTCCCAAAAGGTTTTTCTATTCAGATTCACTTAGTTACGCAATTTTTTTCAGGCTGGGCTTACGACCTCAAGACAGTCTCAGTGGATATGATCAAGAAACGTGCTGCAAGGACCGGAGACGGCTCCCACCCGTCCTGCCAAGAAGCTCCAAAGGTCATAGATGATGATGACCATGACCATGACCATGATCACTCTCACGAGAACGCAGTCTGGGGCTGGGAGGACAAGGATATGCCAGAAGAAGATAAACAGCTAGCAGAAATCAGTCATAGAAAGATAGAATAGCATAGCTTTAGGTTTATAATTTGTACAAATGTGTGTGGAGTCATTTGCATTTAAAAGTTTCCTGTTGTAATTTGAATGTGGATCAAAATTTAAGATTTTGAAAGACAAAAGAACTACTCAAATTATTTAATTCAAATTAAAATGGGATCTGATATTGGATATTGATAAACTAAAGGCATAAGACTTAAAAACTATTTTAAATGTGCCTTAATTTATATGCCAAAACTCATTAACCTAGTTAGAGGTCACATAAATGGCGAACTGACTCAAAACATTTTCCTCTTTTCTGCAGTCGGAAAATAATCAATATTTTGACAGCGGAGTAGAAAGTGATTTTAATCGATAACATTGCATATATACCACGTCATTGTACCTAATTTGGAATGTAACAAACCAGCCACTAAAATAAAAAGTCCTGTCCTGTTACAAACGGGAGGCACGTTATTATTGCCTCTTTTTCTGTTATATAGCCAAAAGCACTGAATTGTATACCAAACAAATTAAATTATACAAATCTAATTAAACTATATAAATTAAAGGAAACATTTAAATCGCTGAATGTAAATAAATGTAATTATCCTTTTGATATTTATTAATAATTTCAGAGAATAGGATACGTATTTATCATTCGGTAATAAAAGGACTGGATTCGGTGATAGTATAGCATATTATTATTTTATTTATTTTTATTTGTTTTATTAGGAGCCTATTTTTACTCTGATATAGGATGCTGCTATGATTACATGATACAAATTATTTTAAGACTTCATATTTTATTGTTTATCTTCATTAATGTTAGTTAATATATTAAGACGTTGATGGTGTAATAGGCTCTTAATGAACTTAAATTATATTTTTGAGACTTTTACCTATTTACTGTAAGCTTTTATCATATCGCTATAGCATTTAGCGTAAAATGATGGTTTATTATAGGATTATTATAAAGAATAAGACAAATAAAACTTGTTTTAAAGCGTTTTAATAAAATAAAAAACAGCTCGAAAGCATTTCATTTGATCTAATTTAGTTGATCCTAATTTTATAATTAACACTAGAAAATCTACAAATATACGAACCTTTTCAAGTAGGTATCTTAACTCATTAGTTAAAACAAAATAGATAAGCATTAAGATAGTAGGACTGTCATTTTAAGTAAGTAGTAGGTATTCCATCATAATTAGTGACCATTAAAAAATATTTCGATGAAGGCCGTCTGCAGGAAAGTAAGTAGGTACGTGATATATTAGATGTCCGTAAATAAAACAACACTTTCTTCTTTTATTAATAAGATATATACATTGATTAATGAGTACTGATGAATTAATGGTTTCGCTTCAGTAGGCATTATCTAATGAGATATTTTCTTACCTACTGACGTATTTTTAAAACCTAGGACTGAGTGTGACAAATGTCAAAAATCTGTCAAACTCCATACAAAAAGCGCCGGTGATCGACAAAGTTACCGTTAAAGTTAGGTGGTGCAACTCAGCCTAAGCATTAGAGTTCACTGAATTGGAAATCTGTCATTAGTTAAATTCGTTTCGTTTCGTTTCAGCCAAATGACGTCCACTGCTGGGCAAAGGCCTCCCCCAAGGTTTTCCACAATGAACGGTCGTGTGCTGCCGCATCCAGGTTCTTCCCGAGACCTTTACCAGATCGTCGGTCCACCTAGTAGGAGGTCTGCCCACGCTACGTCTTGCCCGTGGTCGCCACTCGAGAACTTTTCTGCGCCAATGGCCAGTAGTTAGATAAATTAAAGTTATTCTAAACTTCAAGGTCAAGATAATGAAGTTCTCACTTGATTGAACTAGCTGGGCTAGGATGCGCCCCGTGATAAAATCTTATCGATGATTTTAGAAGACAAACGTATGGGCTTATCGCATAAAATCGATAAAACGGCGCGAATTCTAGGCCTGGGTTCGTGAGTTTTTGTTTTTGAGTGTCCAATATTTTGGAAGAGTTGCAAATAGAGAATAGTTGATACCGGTCTGCTTCAACATAATCCCTTCAATATCTAGGTGTTTTATTAAGTTCAATTGGTATTCAATCGCTTTTTTGGATTTAGTTGTTATGAGTGGGTTTTACTACATTAGTGCAGCGGTCTACGGGGATCGAAAAATCTCAATAGGAGCAATCGTCGCCTCAAATTACAAAGATAAACATTGATAATAACAAATCTCAATCTACTTAAGTCAAAAGAAAGTGAACGTGAAAGTTTAAAACAGAGTAAGTGATAAAGTTTAGGACAACTTTTATTCGGAATGCACGTTGAATTATTCAACTTTTATTTTGTAGAACATACCGAGAATGGTTACGTGTTTATTATTTTAATGTTCTACCTAGTCACGATTACAACCTAGGATAGATTTTGATAGATAGATAGCAAAAGCTCTACCTATTTATTGGGTTCCAAAATCACGTTGGTACCTTTCAATACAGTGAACTAAAAATAGATTTCTACAAATAAAACAGTCTAAATACAAAATCATTTACTCATTTGGGCTCATTGAAGGATCAGATTCAATCCCGCTGTTCATTTATTCCAACGAACTGTGTCTAACACTAAAGATAAATTAAGCCTATATTAATTTATATTTCCAAAGCAGTACCTACTTGTCTATTTATATCGCGTAATTCATTAAATTAAAGCTAAATATATCGTAATATGGTAAATAATAATCATCAATTTAGGTAAAACAACACCACAGAACAAACGACCTTATAAATCATAGCAATACATAGTCACTTATTTTAATAATGAGTTCATTAACTATAGACAACATGAATATCTTTACTAATGATTCTTGTATTATTTAAGCAATAATTTAAATTCCACCTAAAAAAGGTCTACTCTTAGTTAACTGAAATATGCTTGTCTTTCATGAGAAAACCTATGAAGGTTGTAGGTAGATAGATAAATAAGACAATGACGAGCTTTTCGAAATTATGATGGTTAGTTAAAGTAAAAACTTAAGAAATCTTAGTTTAATGTAAAATATTTACAGAAATAAATAGTAAAAATAAATAACAGTACGAGTTAAAGTTTAACAGACTAGTGGCAACACTTGCACGGAGATTCTGGCATTATTTCTTACACCCTTACTTCTGTCCGTGCCCCTTCTCTCCACAAATCTTTCTTAGCAGCTTTGGTGAACTTATTAGCATACAATTGGTTGATCCATTCGTTATTGGTGGGCCAATCTTCGACAACTTCATATTCATGGGGGCCAATTGGGCCGGGGATGATCTCAATCTGACCCGGCTCGTAACGGATTTTTACTTCTGGTTTATTATCCTGGATGGTTGCTGCCTTTTCGTTGGAGTATCCTTCGTTGACGTATATAACTTTCTTGTCGTATTTGTCATTGAACGCGTTGTTTCTTAGTAAAGTGAAAATGGCACCAGACAAAGCCATGTTGTTGAGCATACCCACGGCGACAGTCATCATTTTTAGCGCTGGCAACACGAAGGGCAAGACGGCCGACATGATGAGGCCTGGCAAGAGTAGGTAGGGTATGATCGCGTAGAATTTCTTTCGCATCTTCTTCATGCCACGCGAGGTTTCGTTCTCAGTGCCTGAAATTGCAGAAGAAAATATTACAGACACTGTTCAGTAGGATACTTGTCAAGTAGGTACACCAATTATTTTTAATAGTATTCCTTTAATCCAAAACGAAATCGATGTAGACGCGAATGTGTTGTAGTAGTCAACGAGAAAATATTTGCCACGAATGAAAGTAGGTAAGGACTGATTTACACAAAACGTTACGGAACATAGTTTGTACACGCATAAATATCCCCAACTGTAAACACAGTTATATAAATTCCTGTCTAGGAATTGAACTCTATCAATACATAAAATAATGTTAAATGTTATTTTAATTTGTACACGGATTTTAAAAAAACTCATAAAACTAATTTATTTCTGCAAATAAGCTTTAAAAAAGCACTTTTACTTTTGTGTTATGCTATCTTTCATTATCATGAAAATATATTATATTTTATTATACGAGTAGTTAACAATAAATATCAGCAACACTAATTACTATTGATTTAATAAAACAAAAACACAAAAGGACTCTTATGAAATCTAAAAAGTTTAAACAATAATACAACTGTGAATTATAGAACCGTTCAACAGAAAGCTTTTTCAATAGAGCTTTTTGTACTGTATTGCACAAGTCACTTTATTAGCTGCAAGCTCTTAAAGTTTTCTTTTGTAAATTAAAGTACATTTCCTACTGCATGTTACCTAGGTACTCGTATACTTTATTATTTATTTGCAAATTGTGTAATTTTACTCACTTTTATAAACGTCGATGTTCAGAGTACCGTTGCCTCGAGACGCCAGCTGGAATTCATAGCCAGGAACCATGTTGAAGTTCAGGGCTTTATACTGGAGTAGTTTCTCCGTCCCACTGCACAGTCGCGAATACAGTTCATCTTCAGTACTGTTGGTGTACTGCTCCCATGGAAACTTCTGGATTTCCTTTAAACTGAACGTTGGATTCTTTTCTTTGGTGTTTATCGCGTTTTCGGCGCGCCAATTGGCAAGAGCTGCGATGCATGTCGAAGGGCCGAGAGTCCGAGCGCATTTGATGAGCCGCCGCACTCCGTCAGTGACGTCACGGTGCCGCGACGGGTCCGTTGCGTGCGCGCAGGAGCGTAGCGAGAACGCGGCAAGAATGACGATCGCGGCGGTCGCACGCATCGCTATCGTCCAACTGAGCGCGCGCACCTCTCGCCAGTGGGAGGAGTGACTCTACATTCTATGTCACCCCGCTGGGGATACTCCGAGCAACGATATAACGATTTTAATCTATAACTAGCTGACCCGGCGAACTTCGTACCGCCTTAGCGTAGAGATTTTCTTAATATTTTTTTCCGTAAGAACCATCCTTGGACTTCCACAAACATTTAAAAAAAAGAATTATCGAAATCGGTTCAGCCGTTCACACGTGATGCCGTGACAACGCGAAACGGGTTTCATTTTTATATATATAGATTCGGACGGATTTATTACATAACAAATAGTGTTGACGATTCGCACGCAGAGCATTTTCTAATGATTAATAGTGACCAGCATAATTGGTAACTTACAACCATTTTTGCATAAATTCGTTAATGATTAATTCTAACTAGACGAACATAATCTGAAATTAATGATTATTGGTTTATTGCACGTAAGCATAAAAATAAATGCTTGAAACACGATTTAGGTAGGTAAGTAGCAAGTAATTTTAGTTATAATTATTTTCTTATTTATGACTTTAGAATAGGTTTTTACATAGAAATAGCCACCTGTGCTATACACATAGGGAATTCATTGGTTTGTTTGACGCTAACTTCTTTGGTATCTTCGTGTGCGATATCCATAAGGAAAAATATGCAACAATTTCGAACTGCCCCTGTTTGATTGATTGTAATACCGCGTGTTACTTTACAAATTCCGGTGAAAATCGATTTCAAAAGCTTTCGAAAACGTGATCTCAAATTGTAGGTGGTGATACGATTCTGTCGATATAGCTACACACTTACTCGTACAGCTAATGTTTTTCTGCATTGTTTATGGACAGGAAGTGGCCCGTATGGCCAAATACAGCAAGTTTGACATTAAATAGGGTTGTCACCTCATGAACCTCATGAGCTTTGCTTTAATTGGTATCATGCCTGAAACGACACTTTTAATGCTGTCCATTTTAAAATGAAAAAAAAAAACGTTTACTCTTATTTAAAGCCTGTCATTATGACTAAAAAAAGTACTAATGAGGCTTTTTTTGTTCTCATTTATATCTTATCACGCGAGCTAAACTGATTGTTGAAATAACAAAGAATAATCTGCCAATGCGTTTCAAAATTGAGACATTTGAAAATCGAGAGTGTCCGTGAATTTGCTTATCCGTTACAGATGCTAAGTTTTGAGAGCTATTTGCTCTGATTCCTGTGTTCCACTCGAGGCGATGGCTTAATAGCTGTATCAGCGGCCGCATATTACGCAGGTTGGCGACCCTGTGGTCACGGGCGACGCGTGCGCAGGGCTACCATAAACACAGATTTTTCCGGATTTATGACTAACTGGACTTAGACAGATGCATAATTCGAGCAACTAACATTTTTTTTTAATATCACTTCTACGTTTTGGGTGGAATTTTCATGGCTTGCATTGTTTTGTAAGTTAAATATTTTTTGACAAAAGAATTGGGGTTTTTAGTAACTGCCCAATTTTAAGGCGGCAACCCTACCACCGTCATGCGCGGGCGCATCGAGTTTCTACCGACGTGTCGCGCATACGGACTCCGGCGTGCATAGATACTGAATTGATTAGCGTAGAGTCATTTCACTAATTACTGCCGCATAATTAAAAGCATTAACAGTATTGAAACATTGTCATTGATAGATCTATTATGAAATGCTTGGCTGGTCTTGTTATTGCTTGGATATATTAATCCTCATGGAAATACTATATTTATATGAGGCCCCTGCCTATAATCTATACTAATATTATAAATGCGGAAGTAACTCTGTCTGTCTGTCTTGCTTTCACGCCTAAACCACTGAACCGATTTTGATGAAATTTAGCATAGAGTTTGAGTCCCGGGAAAGGACATAGGATAGTTTTTATCCCGGTATTTGAAACAGGGACGCGCGCAATAAATAAATTTTCTGTGACAGACAAAATTCCACGCGGGCGAAGCCGCGGGAGGAAAGCTAGTTAAACATATACGTAAATTACTCTTATTAATCCCCAAAACTTCTAGGAATTTATAGCTTATACTATTATAGGTAGGTATAGTTATAAACTGAACAATATCCGTGACACCGTACGATTGATTAATATAGGTACAGTTTCAGGAATTGCCTACTATACAAATATAATTCTCCAAATTAGTCATCAGAATTTCTGAAGAGTTCAAAGACCTGTCTAAGATAATATTAAATATTAAATCCCATATCGATATGCTAACACCGCTCATAAAACTTTATCGTATAGGTACATCGGACCCAAGTCTAGCAGCCATCAAGTACAATCGACCGCACATTATAAACTATAGGACATTGTAATTGCAATATAGTATCTATTACAACTGCTTTTAAGATGTTACTGTTTAGTTTCATGTGTCATTGTACTTAATATCAATAATACGGCCGTTACATACTTTCAAAGGCTTAAAAGGAAACCTATTGTATCTAACATTACTTTCACCGCTCTTACTTTTGATAAATAAAATCATTTGCGGCAATTTTCCTCTACACAAATAAATCGTTTTGCATTTCAATCTCGCAGATACATTATTTAAATGAACTTGATACGAATAGACGAGTAGCTAATAAAACTATCGTAATTTATGGATATTTGATACTATTTAAAATGAATAAGTAATTTGGGTAATAAATAAATGCGTAAAGGCTGAGGGTACCCGCTGAAACCCGCTTGTGATACGCTTCAATTGCACAAAATTCGTTGCGTGTTAGTTTTCCATTTCTGCATTAATTTGGCTTTTCTTTTTGCATCTAATTATGGATTTTTCAATTACTTTTCAATTAATTGTTGACTGAATGATCTTCGTTATAGCACCCATGCGAGGGCTTAAACTTAATTTAAGCTTACAACCGTTGAAGTGCCGCTAGCAAGCCTCAAGCCGTACGACGACCGGACCTGTTATCTCCTGATGACCGTCTTATGAACAGGTTTTCCAACCAACCCTCTATCGAAATGTACATAAGTACGTGTGCTAGGTATATCTCATGAAAGCACGATAAACGAGTTAAGAGAAGTTATGGAATAAGATTGCTATTATTTATATACATATATATGGCCTTATAAAAACTTAGTACGCTCAGCATGGGACATTCTAAATGGTGAATTTTCACAGTAGTTTTGACTAGCATCTCATATGCTATTAACTAACACCCGATATGTTATACAACAAGCAAACCAAATTCTGTTAGATCATGATGATGTAATTTGTAATCACACTAAAAGTAGGACCGTCTGGAATATTTGTAGCGCGTGTGATTAACATGAAAATTATATCATGTTTTGGTTCCATTTCCGATATTCAGGATTATCTAACATCAACGAGCTTTCTAAAAAGATCTTTAAAGTAATCAAATGAATATTTATATGATTTGAAGTAGTAATCGATTTAATATCCGAGTTGAATGAAATAAACAAAATAATAAAAACAATTTTGTTTAATATGTGGATTGTAAAATATAAGAAGCAGATTATGTTGTAAGGCTGAGTTGCACCAACTAACTTTGACCGTAACTTTGACGATAATAACCGGTGTTTTTTTGTATGGAGTTTGATAGATTTTTGACGTTTGTTAAAGTAATATGGTGCAACCCAGCCTAAGATTTCCAATTGCTCTGGCAAATAGGTAAGTAAAAAACTTTTGTTTCAGAGGCTTCTCTCTTGCTGAGTTTTGTTTTCTGAGTACAGTGAATGATTGAAAAGGAAACCAGGGATGAAATAAAATAATGGCAACCATAAAATAGAAACATTTAACAAATATAATTACCTACTAAAAAGCCTTTCTTATAATGAATTTTATGGATATTGCAAAAGTAATTATATTTTTTGCACTGTTTTTTTAAGTATTTGCACAACATAGAACAAATCCAAACATACGGAAACAGTATTATGGAAAAGCCTGTTTATTACAAGCCAAACATTGTAACAACGTTATTTAATTTCAGCAGTTCCATTATGTGCCATTAAAAAGGGTTCACCAAATACCGTTGCCGAATTTATGCGGGCCGGAAAACTTACGTGTCCATTTGCAAATGATCACTTTCTCCAACTCATTTGTTTGATAAGGATCATAGCGCAGGCCCGTCGGGAGCACTGCCGTTAATGACTGACATTAGTCCTTGAAAAGAAATGGCCGCTGGTTCCCAAACTTTAGTCATAGATACATAGGTAAGTAGTTTTTCTGTGATCTAGCTTGTGTGAAATTATTATTTGCAAAGATAATTTCTACAACAAGTTTCATCAAGATATTTTTTGCCTAAAGCAGTATCTATCTACCAAGCAGTCATATTGACTGTTGAGATAATATCTCTCTATCTATCAGCCTTTGGGCAGCTCTTCGGAGCGAGGCCTCCTCTTCAACCTTCCACCGTTTTCTGACCGCGATCACTTGCATCCAGTTTATTCCAGCCTGTTGCTGGATGTTGAATCTGTCCTTTAAGACTAGTTTAATTTTTGAATTTTTATTGTATCATCCCTAATTAATATTGAAAAAATTCTGTCTTCATTCATTAATTCACCTATGTTTGAGCTCAAAAGAAAATAGTACTACCACAACTCCTGCCCGAATAATTGTTGTGATTTAATTTTCACTACACCAACTTCATTTGAAGTCGGTGTAGTGAAAGTCGGGTCTAATATAACCAGTGTTCTTCTTTGCTTCTTTCTCGTTATAATACAGGATAATAGCCTGTACACTGTACATACAGCAACAAAAATGTGCAGTCTGGTTACTGTCTGAGTACTGTGTAAAGAATTGATTCGATTTGATCGACTTATTCAAAAACAAACTTTACGCCCTATGTTTAATTCATAAAAGTTTGGGAAGTCGTGAGCCCACATAACGAGGGCGACATTTCTATCGGTTCGTCACGTTGTCCTACGCTTTCTTTTGTCGAACGTTTGGTCTTGCCGACCATTGTCTTCAGCAGGACACTTTATATCCTGGCATCCGACAAAAAAACAATCAGTCAAACACCAGCCGGTGGTCAATCAACTAACCAAAGTTTTAATAGTGAGCAAAATGTGCAACAAAATCACGGTACTAACCCTACTGTATGTGACGATATTCGTCGCCGTAGTGAAAAGTGAAGATGCAGCTTCCGGAAAGGTGATGGATTTCATGGGCAAAGGTGTGTAATTTTATCCAAAGGACTTGAGACACTGTCATCTTTTATGCACCAAAACTAAAATCAATACACACACCCGTGAGTTTATGTGACCTTTTCCACTTATTAATAATGTAAAAGCATCGTTTTGTGAAAGAAAATTTTCTACATGATTGAACTAACCGAACTTGTATGACGCTTCATACAACAACAACGCTTTGTTTGAGTTTACACATCCATTTTTCTGTGTAAATGATTACTTAAGCTTTTTGCAATAAGTTTCTTAGAATTACTTATCATGAACTTTTTCTAAATCTACTTACTGATCCTGAAAATGTATCTCAGGAGAAAATTCTTATAACAAACTCTGCACAGGCATAATAAATTGGTGTTTTCTGATGATAAATCAATATTTCCTTTTATCCGATGCCAAAATTTCTAATCGTTAAAACGTGTAAGTAATTAATTGTACAATTCTAATCAAATATTTTTTATTATCGTTGGTCATAATTGGAATTGATCGGTACACTGGTTATCTACTCCAGTAAAAATTACTCATTAAACTTATTAGAAGTAGGCAATACTTCTAATAAGTTTAATGAGTAAGTTTAACGACTCATTAAACTTATTAGAAGTATTGCCTTAATGTCCAATTTATTAATTTGGCAGGCATTTGTCTGTAAAACATACGTGAATTGGCACTAAAATGTTTATCATCAACATTCGACTATAAAATTAAGGCTGAGTTGCACCACCTAACGACCGCAACTTTAACGATAACCGGTGTCTTTGTATAGAGTTTGACCGATTTTTGACGTTTGTCAAAGCAAAAGTAAGATGGTGCAACCCAGCCTAATAAAATGGTGATGTATTAAACTAATCAATTAAGTAACAAAAAATTATCAAGTGTGAATCGGTCAAATTCTCGGATCCTCATTGAGATAATGATTTCTTTCTTCCCACAAGGCGAAGGCTTTATTGTATAGAAAACTCCATCTTCATCACTTTCTGAGTCCATGGGAAATTGTTCTATCAATAATGACTAATTATAAAATATTTCAGTTGTATTACTTTAAAAAGCGGCGCAGGACCGGTCTTTGTGGTAATCCTTGGGGGAGGCCTTTGTCCAGCAGGGGACGTCTTTCGGCTGAAACGAACGAACGAACGAACTTTAAAAAAGTTCGATCCATTGACTGGTACTGTGAAATCTATCAAATATCTGATTCTCAGTAGATCAATGGGGAGTTGGTACTACTGTAGGTAGACCTATTCAATTTAGACTATTTAAGGGTCCTTTTTTCCGTATGAGCTACGGAATCCTAATAGAATAACACTACAACCACACTACAACTGTGTATACGATGAAAATCAAACTTTTCCTTCGAAGAAAAACAATCAAACCTACTTAGAGAGTCAAAAAGTTTCACTGGAGCAAGACCAATTACTGATTCTTTTCATTATCTAGATTTAACTTTGAAAACGTAACTTTTTAAAGGAATAAAAACCAACAAATCAAAACTTTTCATCGTAATTAATTTCATATTTGAGGCTACTGTCTCTGAGGTGTGTATTTGTGGGTTGTTAGAGTGAACTCTGTCGTAATTGTATTAATTCAAAAGTATTCATTATGTGACGAAAAGTTTTGTATAACAGAATTTGATCATAATTAATTATGCTAACCAACGTCAACCAAAGTTTAACATACGAATTTTAAGTTAGTAAAACGTACCATTATAGTACTTATTCACCGCACCAAGTACTAAGTAAGTAAATTAGAATGACTAATTTAAGTGGAGACCTAGTTCGGTAAATAAGGCGTGGAACATCTCTTCCACAAGGAGTCACGATGTTCGTAAAGTGGGAAATAATAGTTCTTTGTATAAACCACACACGTTGCTGTTTTTTTTTCCAACACACGTTGCTGTTTGTCACAATAATAATGCTTGTTACTTTTTAATCTTTACCTAGGTAGGTATTTGTATTTTTAATGGCAATAACCTAGGTTAGGGCCGGGCTAAGCATTGAATCCTATAACCAGAAGTGGACTTCTTCTTTTTCTTCTCAGTTGCTACACTCTTGGTAGAGTCGTGATTATCATGATGTGCCTTAATATTTTGCCGTCTTTCCCTGTTGATGGTCAAATCAGCACTCGTACAGGAGGCCACCCACAGCAGTTTTGATCTGGTCTTTCCATCGCACTAGCAAACAAGTAGCCTAAATTGAAAATGAAAATCTTTATGCAATTTAGACCAATATTTAGCACTTATGTGGGCAAATTTTATTCATAAATCATCATTTCAGCCGCAGGACGTCCACTGCTGAACATAGGCCTCCCCCAAAGATTTCCACAATGGCCGGTTGGTGGCCTGCATCCAGCGCTACCTTTATGAGGCAGCAGGTTCTGGAGCGGAGGCCAATGTATCGGAAAGCGCAGCGTAGGACGTCCACCCACAAGGTGGACCGACGACCTTTAAAGGTAGCAGAAAGGCGCAAGTTTTATTAATGACATATATTTATTTACGTTTCAGACATGAGCGTCGGCCGTACGTTCGGTCACAATGCCCTCAAGAGGCTGTCCTTCATCTTCCTTCCCGTGATGTTCACTCTGGGCGTCATCTCTACCTTGCTGATGGCCTTGGCCGTCATCTCTGTCAAGAACCTGGCCATCGGCGTCATTCTTCTCATCGTTGCTATTAGTCAAGTAAGTTTTAATAAAATATGTATAATAAATAATACAATAGAAGTAAGATGGATCGACGAACTTTATGAAGATAAGTACTTAACTGTCGCGGCTGCACGGAAAAAAGGGCGTCCCTCTTTTTTCAGGACCCTTCAATGGAGGCTTACGTGTAGTAGAAGAGGACTGCCAGTGACAAAAATTAATGAAACTATCTTTTATTTAGGATTATTATGAACATCGGGGTTGTCGTCGTGGCACTCTAAATATTATTAACTCGCTTCACGTATTTATTTAAATGATAGCTGACTCTGGCTGCTCGTTATTTAACTGACTCTGGCTGCTCGTTATTTAAACGACTAAATTGGAATGCAATTAAAATGCAATCTGAAGCGACAGTTGAGTTTATTTGAAACATTCATTTTTTATTTCATGTGTTAAAAATAACTAAAATACTTAAGGAGTTGTGGTTTATTTAATATTTTAAGTTCGATTGACTTATCACATTAATTTTATGTTATTACTAGCAGCCGCCCGCGACTTCGTACGCGTGGATCCCGTTTTACCCGTCTTCATCTATCTTACGCGGTTTAGATTTTTTCATACAAATGTTTTTTCCCGCTAACTCCCGTTCCCGTAGGAAATTTGCAATATCCTGTTGTAACTAAGCTTTAAGTTTACTAAGGTACATGCATGCCAAATTTCAAGCGTCTAACTTAAGCGGTTTAGATTTTTCATACAAAAAGGAATTTCCCGCTAATTCCCGTTCCCGTGGAAATTTCGGGAATTCCTTTCTTAGTGCACCTCTACGGTACCTAAGCTACGTCCCTTCCAAATTTCAAGTGCCTACGTTTAGCCGTTTAGGCTGTGCGTTAATATGTCAGTCAGTCAGTCAGTTTCTCCTTTTATATATTTAGATGGTACATACATAATTACGTTAAAACAAATTATTTACGTATATACTCGTAAAGGCTTAAACCACTTGCACTTGCAAATAGCTCTACATTACAACTCAATTTACCTTACTTAGGTAAATTGAGTCGAGACGGTGATAAAAATATCTAATAAGAAATGTGTCGCTTACACTACATTATCACTCAACTTGATTGATGTACCCATATAAAGGAAGGGATAAAACTTGATTGATGTATCCTTCTTATAACTAAGCTATTCAAATAACTTTCCAGGCGGTATCCAGGCTGTTCTTCGCGGCATCAGCGCCGTCTTCCCTGGTGCATCTCCATCCACGAGCTGAACTGCTGCCGGCCCCAGTCGCCGCACCTTGGCCCGCCCCTGGCCCCCTACTGTCCCCGTGGGCCAGATCTGACAATGACGCCACCATTTCTGACTAAACGATCACCCGGCTAATTTTCTTTGGTTTTACACTTACAATAATTTACGAACTCGAAGAGAGATTTCGCTTCAAACTTAAACGCTAGGTACTGAACGAAAGATCAAAATCAAAGGCACGGGAAAGAAATCCACTGTCTTAAAAAATATTATAATTATGTTCAATGGTAATGAAGATACTTTGATTTTCCATAAAGGGAAAGCAATGATTTTTGTCTTCAAAAGAAAAGATGATTTCTTATGTTTTTTTAATCACGACTCTGTTTCCCGTGGTTTAATTTTTTCACGAATCACTTGAAATTAACAAAAGCATCAAATGAATGACCTTTTACGTAACTTATCTTTACTAAGTTCTTTAGAAGATTCCCACCAGACAAAAATTATAAAGCTACCTCGTGACTGAAACAACAGTCTAATGTAAACGTGCATTTATTACTGACGACATCACACGAATAACGATTAATTTATTTATTAACTAATTGACATCTTAAAAACATAATTTATTAAATATGTTATTTAATTTTTAAGTATCGAAACTTCGTCTGTCTCCCGCAAAACTTTCCATTTGTGGAGGATAGACGACGAATTTATTATACGTAATTAGAACTATTTATTTATACTAGAAATAAACTATCATACAATTTACTTTGTTGTTTTCTTCTGAACTAAATAGCCTTTTCTATGTAGATTAAAGATGTCTTTAAATAGGTCTATTTTCGTATAACCACGTAAGTAGGTAAGTATAATTAATGAAAAACGTGTTTTTCATCAACAAATAGCACCATTTAAGCCTTTTAACATTCAGTTGACAGAATAATAAATTAACCTGGTCTTAGCAGTAGTTACTTGCCATTTGAGAAATAAATGGAGCCTTGTTGATCTCTTGTCTTGTCTTCCTATTAATAATTAATTTGTATTGTCTCACTTTCAGGTTTGTAGTTTCAGTTCCTTACAAAATAACACTGCCGGCAAACGGAATCAGAACTTAGGCTGGGTTGCACGATCCAAATTTAACTTTAACAAACGCAAGAAATCGTCAAACTCCATACAAAAAAACACCGGTTATCGTTACAGTTACGGTCAAAGTTAGATGGTGCAACTTAGCCTTACTAATGAATAAGTAACTAGCTCAGCTAGTTGACTCTAGCTGTAGTACAAGTAACTTCAAAAACAATAATAATTTTGTGCCATTTTTTATACCTCTTTAGTGAGTAATAAATGGAAAATTATGTAACTAATAATATTTTATTAGGAATCTCTTAACTTAATAATCTGTAGATTTTGATTACTTGGTTTAATTTTTCCACTCTTTATATCTCCGTAGAATCAAGTCGATCTCAATTAACATTCTAAACGATACAACTACTAATTAACAATTGTAATGTATCTATAAGACATGTTTAACAATGGGCAGTAAAAAAATGGTGTATTTTCACATCGAAAGTAAAATAAAACCAAATATGCATGCAGCCATTATCAAAGCATAGTAGTATGTATGTGACAAATACAAGTGGGTACAGTTTTTTTTTTTTTTAACTGGTATTTTGCTACCAGAATCAATGTTTTTTTTTTGTAATTGGATGTTGTTATTATTAAGTTACTTTTATTAAGTTTTAAGAGAGTAGGATAGTTTCTCGCAATTTTCTACGAGCAAACTGAAAAAGACATTGATACGAGACAATATTTACAAATGATGATGATGGTTTTTTTACTATGTAAATAGTATAAGCTAGATATTTTCTATTTCAAGTAGAAATATTTTTAGCAGCTTATCTATAGGTACAAATAGTGGTTATTATAAAGGACTTTTCTTTCGGGGCTTGGGAAGGTTTTAGCCATTGTGAATTAAGAATTCAGTTTCATAAGGCTTTCTTAACCTGCTTGATATTTATTAATGTTAAGATACAGCAGTGTTGCATTTGCACATTGGCGATAATTTAGTATAAAAAGCTCATGCTCATTTTTTTTTTAGGTAAAAGCTCTTCACACAGAGCTTTTACCTGAAAAAAAAATGAGCATGAGCTTTAATTTGACACACTTGTCCTGCTTTCTAATTGTGCAACTCAACATTCATCGTAATCGCTTCCAGTTTGATAATAACTTTTGCTACGGCACTACAAATATCACGAAGACTGTCTTTATGAGCCAGTAATGGAAGTAAAATCCCAGATTCTAATAAAATTTAAAAAGATCAATATAGGTCTTGATTTATTACAGTAGGCTCTACCCTGTTAGGTGTAGGTATATTTTTTTTAGTATGGGTTTAAGTATTTATTTTAAAAAGTAAACGGTGAGCATACTTTATCCGATCTTCATTATACGCATGCAAGTTGTGAGAAGTTTTCACAAAATGACAATACACAATGATTCGAGATCATTGTCAAGATGATGAAACAGTTACTTTTACTGATTAAGTAAGAAAAACTATTATGTCTTATTACGGTGAAATATGTGAAAAGTGCACATAACCTGTCGTGCTCTGTGGTTGATAAGTTATTCTTAAATAAACTAATTAAAATCTTAATCTTTTTCTAAACCAAGCGTAGTGTTTTACGCATTATAATACTATACTGGTCATCACAAAAATCGGCCCACCTACGTTTTACAGGAAACCTCGTTTCTACTGACACAATCATGGTGCCCTAACAATATTGGTGTTATTTGAAAGCCCAATAAATATTCATAAACATAACATAAAGAAAACACATTTAATTTCTTAATCAACGATTAACATATACAATAAATGTGACTTGAAAAATGACCTAACTTTGGGCTCACCTCTGGGATCAATTAGACCAATTTTTATGATTATAAAACCAAATAATGATCTCAAGTGTCCTCTTTAACAGATGGATAGCGATTAATCCCAACTTAACAGTATTAAAACCATAAAAGTTGGCTCATGCGTAACTACCTATTTTTTGAAAAAGTGACTCAGGATCCTTCTAAAGACACATTTTTGGTATAAAAACCTTTCCTTTATTTAAATGAACTTTAGAACTAGGCTTTCAAATGGTGCCAACATTTGTGGGAAGTGGGAATGCATACGTGTGAAAGTGCTTGTCGCGGGAGGGTCGATTTTTGTGATGACCAGTGTATTTTCTCCGCTTTCTATAATATACAGAATAAGCAGTTGTTTTGTTTATTATAAAAATAACTAGAACACTATTTTGCACATTGTTACGCGTGCCACTGTAGCCATTATGGAAAATTTCACCGTGTGGCGAATGAGAACGAAAGTTGTTTATGAACGAAAGGCACCTGCAACGTTTAAACCAGTTTAACATTATCGGAAGCCTTATGATAGCCCTCGGAGAGAATGCATTCCTGCCTGCAAATCATTTAATTATACTGCACCTAATATACTTTATATTAGTTAAGTATTTAAGTTTCGAAATTCTAGAAACAGCCGAAGTGGGACTCCCAGGTAGCGAGGTGTCCTTTTTACCACGCGTGAATAAATTGTTGCTATTCACAGGGTGTAGAGTAAATAGTTGAAATAATGTGATGGATATCAAAAATTGATAACAGCACTGTTATTTATTGTGCTGTCCAGCATACTAATTCAGAATTAATTAAGGTTATTATTTAAGAAGCCAAGTTTCTGAATTCTTGATTTGGATAGGCATTCTTAAACAAACTACAAAAAGTCTAGATAACACCATACAATTAATAAGACAATATTAGTCAAAACTATATATATTTTGTATTAACCAATTTCTTACACACTGTTTGTATCTAATTAAATCAATTTATCTCTCCCATAAGGAAAAAAAACTCTAATTCACGATATCGTTCTACATGAACAACTTCAACAAATAACACTGGTCAACAAAAAAAATACAATTGTTTGTTTCCTGTGATTTTTTTTTTCTGTTTCTATCTCAAATTGACGCATATTTTTTAAATATGGTAACAGTTTTTCTCTAACAGCTTTTGTTTTTAAGTTATAACTATCTACCCGAATTTAATATTTTTACTTAGATTTTTGATTTAATTGGACAAAAAAAATATTTTGTTGGTGTTTTCGATATTGCTTCGTTATGAAGATGTTGTGTGCTTAATCCAGATTGCTTCTGCTATGTTTGTGGTAAATAATATTTGAAAAACATCGAAAACCTCTATCGGACTTGACGAAAACTGCGTAACATCGACACTTTAATATAAATATTTGAAATTAAGTAATCAAGACCACAAATGGGTCATTTGTGTTCTGAGAATAGGTAACATCTTTTAGGCCAACAAGGGGGCTACACAAAAATTCCCGTTCCATGTGTTTCTGGAATAGTCGTAACCAACAATAGCATTGGTTAAAAAAATTTTGACCAGTGCAGCTTCCCGCACACACAACTTTTAGCTCTTCAGCTAAAGTTGATACAAACAATTTTATCACCGTGCCTTTACACCACTTTATATTAAGCTTGGCATCTTGAAACAGTTTGTGAAGGCGCTTGACAAAAGTGACTATTTTCTTTCATGCAATTTTTCAGGATTAAGCACAGAAAACTTTAAAGCTTGTAATTTTTGATAGGACTCACATTAGGCAACTGGTGAACGATCGTAATTTTAAGAAATCAATGAGTGAAGTCCAGTCCTAAGCTTAATTTTTTTTTTTTTTTGGTTTTAAGTAATTTCCTAAGCAAAAAGAGATTGTTGAGAGCATACTATCCAATTTGCAAGAGCTAGGGTGCAACATGGGCATAAAAACACTCTTCATGTACTCGCATTAACATCGATTTCCACAAAATGTGGGTGATTTTAGTGAGGAGCAGGTTAAAAGTTTTCATTGGAATTTTCTGACAATGGAAGAAGGTTATCAGGGGCGTGGTGCTCATATATGAATGGCAGGCCATTGCTGGAGTTTGCAACGAGGTCTACTCAAACTTGCCTATTCAAGGAAATCATATAAAAGATCACTTGCTAGTGTTCAATAGAAATTTTATTAACACAATGTTAATTTTTCGTATTTTTTTGTCAAAATAATAAAACTGTATATTTTAAAAAATAAAGCTGTTGGCGATCTTCCAGCATTTTTTTCATAATCAGGGCCATAGAAATACCCAATAACAGAAAAAAAAATG